TAATATTTCCTTATATTATTATATAATAATAAGTTGCACTGTTACGCTAATAATAAATTCCACCGCTAGTACGACAAAAGCAGAAATTGTTCGTTATTTCAAATAGCATAATTAAGAAACAAATTTATAGACATATTCGCTTAAAGTCTACCTGAACAACTTAGATTACCATAGCGAAATGCTATATAATCGTATATAATATATAATAAATCTTTTAGGTATTAATTATTATAAATAATTTCGCAAAAATATTTACCTTGAGCTGTGATTTTCTCTTAAGTTCAGCTATTGAGCGTGATTGCTGTCTGAGGACCTCCACGGCAGTTGGCAATGTGCTAATAACAATTCAAATAAATCGTAGAACTACAACAAATTACTGCATAGAAGCTTAGCTCTAAGCAGATATATTTATTTATTCTTTTTAGTTTTCACTTTTACTTTTTGTTTTTAATTTTTATAAACTTTTCACTATTTTTTTTTTGTTTTTTTTGAAAACACCTCACTAATTTAATGTGTATTCTTAATAACTATTTACGTTTGCAATTCAGCGGAAGCGAAAATTTTACAGTCGTACGGGGCGTATGAGTAACGCGCGTGTGGGAGCTTATCGAATTTTTGGAAAATACTACAATTAGCGAAATTACATATGCACATGTAATTTAATTAGGTATATAAGTATTGTATAAACAGTTGAATATGCGATGGTGTAAAGATAAACACTTAAATGCATATATATGTATGTACGAGTATATGTACATATAAGCAGACAAATTCATGAAAATCTAAATTGTACATGTGGGTGCTTCTAAGCATTTGTTTGTGTTACGTTACATAAATATGCACATTAATATTTATTAAAATGTTTGAAAATTTTATTCCAAGTAAGATATTCGGTTTAACACAATTAAGTTATATATATAGTAAATACTTTTGTTTTTAATTTTTTGGCATATATGTATTTAGTATATAGTTCTAAAAATATTAGGTATATTAACAAATGCGCGAAAATAATTTCTTCTTTTATCCAAAACCGATCTTGGAACCTCTCGAATGTTTTTATATAATTTTCTTTATATTGAATACTAATATTAGCGAGTAAACGGACGTTTATATATTTTTGCCAAAAATACATACATATGTTTGTAACATAGCTGTAAACACTCTTAGGGCTATAAAATACGTAACATCAAAGCTGGCTTACTTAAAAAGTACATAAATACATACATAATTATGTATTGCCACTTGACCTGTGTTTTCTTTTGAAAATATAATACATACATACGCACTACATAACGTAATTTTATACGCTAACTTTCATATTTCAATTTTCGGCATTTTTTTGTCACATTGCTTTCTAATTTTATTTATTGGATTATGTTAACAATGCCGCTCCCCAAAACACAATTTACAAATTACAATGTCACAAATTCACAGCACGCAAATATGAACGCTTGTACATTACATGATTATGTACATACGGTTATATACACATTTATATGTATATACGCTTCACTTTTACAAATGCATGCCTAAGTACGAACTCGCTTAATAGCTTCCGCGACCGGAAACACTGCGACACAGTTGGCTACTACTACCGAAATTTCGAATGCGCCCACAACACTCACGCGTCACATAATGCTATTAAAATAATCTTCAATTTCAAGCGCTGCTAACTTTGTGGTCAACTTGTTTGCTACTGCGCCAATGAAAGCCAATAAGCAAGAGTGGACGTGAACGCGCGGTATTTGACCTATTATCGCGTACCCTTGCAAATGGGAATGTGTGCCAATTAAACAAACTCTATATCTTTCATGTGCTATGTTGAGCACGTTAAATTGCACGCAATACATATATTTTTGTGTTGCTACTCAGCCGAATGCGGTCAACAACTGCAACATAATCGTATATATAGTACGTACATATATATTTGCAATACTCCTTTTAAAGAATTGTGCTTTCGTTGTGTTCTTTTATGCTCAGAAATGTACGAAGCTTCAGGATATATTACATTAACAAGCACTATGCCGTTCAATATTCTAAATTTGTTTTTACTTTAATATATTATTAGAATTTATGCAACATTAATTTCAGTAAATACAAAAAATTCAAAAATGGTATTTTTTTGCCGTTGCACATAACTGCTCTCATCTCATACTTTGAATTATTACAAATGTCAAAAAGTAAAGAAATGCACTTCCACAACACTAACCATTTGTTTACACTAGCTTCATCACTTTACTCAGCAAGCATAATCAGCTTGGAAAATAAATCATATATAAGCACATATATACATATATCCTTACACACTTTCCTACCAACAAAATTTAAAATTTCCAAAATAATTTTAAGTTCCTTGTTTATTCCGAGTGTTTGAACTGCCCTCCAGTGCGATGCAACTGCAACTGAATTTATCCTACTCGTTATATGTCCATGTTGGCCTAGTCTACCAGTTTGTTTTGGCCTCCATCGTTTCGAGCAATCGGCTCGAGCGCACATGCAAGTTGACCGAATTTTTATTCCACTGCGCAGTGGTAATAATTTCTATTGCATTTCCTTCAAATGTACAAGCACGCTCAGCAGCCTTCATGTGTGTATGTGTACACAGGCTTACATGTGCTATTTTCTGAATGGCTACACTTATTTATGTTGTTGTAAACCCCTCTTACACGATTCGGCATCTGTCGTGATTTGGGGTTCGATACTCTTTTGATTTTTCACAGCGGCAGATATGCTATTATATCTCAATGAATTCGCCATTTAGAGAGAAATGTATGTATATCCATATTTGTACGGAGTGTATACTCTGGGTAGCGGAAGTTCAATGCACTACTGCCCACCACCCCTGCAGACAGTGTTTGCAAAAGGTGTGAGTTAAATTTTGATAATGTGTTGTTTTATATCCTTCTTGTTAGATTTTATATGACCCATTATGTAAAATAAATATAGGTATATATAAAGCACATTTAGTAAACTGTAAAAAACAAGTTCGTCTGAGTAACGAATGTGCTCCTAAATGTATGTTGCTTGATTTGTAATTAGAGAATAAACGATTTTTGCGCATAGAAGCAGAAAATGTTAATGAATGAATTATTTGTCGGAACCACCGACATCAGACTATAGCATATAGCTGTCATACGAACTGACCGAATAAAATTAAATCTTTTTATGGAAATTGACATAACATCTTCACGAAATTTGGCATAAATTAACGCTACAATATCCGAATAAATTTTATTGATCAGACCACTATAGCATATAGCTGTCATACAAACTAACTGAACAAAAGCAAGTTCTTGTATGGAAACTTTTGTATTTGCGAAGTATATAATAGCTTCAGTGGAAGCAAAGTTAACGTTTTTTACTTGTTTTTGATGAAAGGAAACTGTTTTTTAATTGATACAATCTTTTTGGAAAGCTTAGTCTAAATTATAATTCGAACATCTTGGCACATTTTTTATAGTCCTCACATATTGTTTATACTTCTGCAGGTAATTTTAAAATTTGCACTTTTTCAATCTTTGATATTTAATTACAAATGTTATACTCATATTAATGAGGTTACTTTCATTTAATTATATATATTTACTTCAATTAATTGCCTTCTAATAACTGAAGCTTTTTGCATATCCTTTTATTATTAATATTTCGATTCATTCCTTTGTGTTTCTTGAATACAAAAATTTATAATTCATCCCAATAGGATGGCAACCACTTATTCCATTGTCAAAAGTGAAAGAGCCAATTGGTAGCAACGAGTAGGAAATGCTCTCTTTTTCTCATGTACATTTCGAATTCAACGGACATGCCAGCCGGTTTTTGGATATGGAAAGTGCCAGTGTTTATGTGTCACGTCAACATAGTACTTTTTTACCTGTACCAACTGGGTTTTTCTTGTTTTTTATTGTGGCAAAGTTGGAAAACTGGTTTTGGCAACTACATAGCAACACGATAAAAAAAAATTATTTGGCCGTGTATATGAGTCATTAAATTCTTCTCAGAATCTTATGAATATAATAAGGTACGCATTAATTTGAAAATGCGAGCATTGGATATATAATATGCCTTTAATTGAAAGCTTATTATTTATTACCAATTATACAAGATTTGATTATTGGGTTTTATACAGTATTTTACAGCGCTTATATTCCAATGCCATTTTTGGCGTTTTAAATCATACTTATACTATGTGTTCCCAGTGCCATTTATCAGCTGTGTCATATTCTTACAGCTGCTGTCAGTACTGAGCACTTGTTGACAGGCAGCTATAGTACTATTTTACAACCGTCTACTACTTTTTTGCGGCAGCATCACAAAATGTGTATTTCACACACTGAACAAAACTCGTGCGAAAAATTTCTCCCTCAGTTTTCTTGCTGCTTCCACAAGCGATAGTTTGCTGTGTTGTCAAAATTGTGACTTTTTAAATAGAGGCTAATTTAAAAAACCTGTCTGAAGTAAATTTAGTATTTCTTTATGAACAAAAGTGGTCAAACACGAAGTGTTTTCAGCGAGCAGAAAGACTGCGAAGTGAGTAGAAAGTGTGTGAGATCATCAACCGGTGAAGGGAAAACTGGAAAACACGAATCGAAAAAGTGAGTACTTACCTATCACTTTTTTTTTTGCCCAAAACTCGCCGACAATTATCTAACAATGCGTTTTATCCTTAATATATTCATGCTAAGAAATGTCTATACTGGGTACTTCAAAATGATGTTATGTGATTTGAATTGAAAATTATAACTCAATATTTCACTAAAAGAAAGTATTTCATTGAACAATTGCTGAGTGCGATGGCTTTTCCACCATCTCAGTTGACGTCTCCGGTTGGATATTAACTTTTTCCTTTTTGGCGCAATTGCATTGATTGACTAATGTGCGAGTGAAACGGAACGATTGTAACATGCATATGAACTAAACCATTAGCACCAACGAGCGAGCGAGTGGGTAGATTACTGAACCATCCTTGACTGAACATCTTTTGTTGAATGAGGTTCCAGTGTTGATGCTTCTCTTGAGGAATCTGTAGGTAGAAAAATGTCTATTGCCTAAGTAATCTGGCTATTGAGTTATTAACCCGCTCTTACCTGTTGGTCTTCTCGACTGGCTAATCGGGATCTTTCTCAATTTTGCTTTTTACCATATTTTAATGGTTCTTTACAATGTTGTAAGTTTGTGAATACGTACGCAGTTGTTAAAAGAAATGTACACACAGGCATATATGTATAAAGAATTGAATCATTGCGCGACAGCGTTGGTGGAAACTATCACCTTCATTTTCGAATTTGTGGTTGGCAATTAAATTTGCCTCTGAGAATACTAAGCAAGTTCAAGAAACGTGTTTTTAAGCCTTGATTAGTAAGTGAAGTGATTGAGTCAAGTAACCTTTAAAACAACAGAAAACCAGGTACGCGCGCTTTGAATGTTGAATTATTCAATTAAAGTAAATGTGGTGCACGTAAATATTTTTGATATCCAAAAAATGCTCCAGTTAATATAAAGTGTATGCAATTTTAAATATCAAGATTAAGTAATCTTGGAAAGTACTGTTTTAATATATTTAAGTATGTGTAGATTTGTATCTGATATGCGTTAAAACATTCATAGAATTCTGTAGTGATTCTGATAATTTTATACACCGGTCAAATACTCTCATTCCGCATTCTAGACATCAATAAACATCAAAAGTTCTCATTTCCATTACACATTCGAAATTGTATCTGATGAATGTATCTTTAATTAAATAGCAATTGCTTTAGCGTGTTCGTGTGAGTGTGTGCGCTTTCACATATACAAATGTATGCATGTTCCCACAAATTAAATCGGCTTGAAGTTGCCTTGAATATGCCTCCGGTAATAGTGCTGAGCCGTTGGGCTGCTGGTTGTCGTTTCAGTGTCAATGGCATTTACATTTTGTATGAAAACGTTAAGGCTCATTGTACTCATTTTTTCTTCAATGTATCTTATTTTAATACGTTTTTTTTTTTTGTAAATTGCTTTTGCCAGAGCCTCTTTATTGGTTTTACATATATACATATATTTTGTAGCTACATATGAGCGCTTTTTTAGTAATTCTATTTGTACAATTTCATTGATGTATCTTTCGTTTTGGTGGTTACTGATATTCAATGTAAAATCCCATCAATGTGGCAAGTTTTTTCAATATATATACATAGCAATGTGAATTTTTTTAACATTTTCAAGAACGAGTTGATCAACCTTATTTGCATTTTACCTTTTTCTGTGCTCTTTCACGCACTTTCGTAATTTTTAATCAGCTTGCGAAAGAATTGTCAATTGATTTGTCGTTTTTAGTTGCTCGATAAACAACAGGCCTGAAAACGTGTAGGTGGTGATGGATTTGAATAGTCTAGACAGTCGGTGTAAAATCAGCGCAAAATTGTGAAATTATAATGTTAAAGGTTTTATAAAAATTGTATCTTTAAAATTAACATTTTAAATACATATATTTATTAATTCATATTAAATAAAGTTGTGAAAACCTATTTGGAAGTAGGTAATTCGAAGTGTTTAAAAATGGAATTTCTAAAAATGTATGTGAACAATATACTAAATAGCTATTATATTTTGCATTAGTGAATACCTTAAGTGTCAAGTATTTTAATAAACAATATTAGAATATAAAAAACATAAACTTTTTTCTTTTTTTTTTTTGTTTAATTGTTCGTTTCTTTAATTGTTATTATGTCAATTTCCTACTGGTCCATTTGAAATGTGGTACAGTGTTGCTGTGTTTCAGCAGTGTTGCTTCGAAGCGCACGCAAATCTTTTATTGTGAAACAACGAATGAGCAAACGAAAACGTGCAATGAATAGCAGACATTTTGATTTAATTTATTGTGTTTTTCATATCGATATTATTTAATTGCAAATTTCATATGTAATTTTTGGCGTTTTTAAATTACTTATCTTTTGTTTTTGCATCAAGCCCGCATAATTTAATGTTGGTGATTTCAACATTTTCGATAAAATACCTGGACACAATATAGCAAAATAAAGAAGCCGTAAGTGAATGTACAAATGTTGTTTAATTCGTATATGCAGTGAAATTAAAAAGTGCACTTTTGGAAATAATAGAAAAGTAAACGTAACTTCTTGATAAGAATATTTATGACAATAATTATGAATAATTATCAATGAAGAGGTTATTGCACCAACTGAGCTATGTGGAAATATTTTTACACATGAAGTGGCACGCTACAATTTTGCTTGCGTTTCATGTTTTACCACGTTCTCTAATTTCATTGGATTTACAAGATTTTATTTAAAGTATATGTGCATTTATTAACAAATTTTAATTTGCAGAAATTGTATGCTTTTAAAGTTGGTGCCAAAATTGTATAATAAACTCCATTAAACATGTCTTGGGTACCATCAACTGATTTTGAGGAGGAAATTGTTGATTCCCAACCGGATCATAATTTTATTTTTGGTCAACTGTGTGAACCATCACAACAAATTTTTTATCCACGTCCCAAAGAACATTTAGATTTTGTAGCGCAACAGAAATCTGTGAAAAACAAACGTGAAAACACTTTGACAAACTCTCAAAATCATAAATTGAATCTTATTGCAAGAGTGCAGCGTATTGCTGGTACTAAACCATTGGGGGAACAACCGACCGTCAATGATTGGAATGACAATGACAATGTAGAACGAGAAGCGATCGCTTTGATGAGACATGTTGGTCTCGGCCCTAGTTTAGAACAACCATTAGACGAAGAACGCACCATTGCCACACATCCCATAAGCGAGGAGATTAAAATAAATAGAAACGGTCGCAAAAAATTGCCAGTATTTTTTGATGGAAAATTTTTTGAATTGAAACCGCGTGTTTCCCGATCATCGTCATCTTCTGGAAACAATAGTCCTGTAATTGAAGATGCTACGACTAACCTTAATGATTCCTGCGCATCACTGAAGAGCAGTAGCATTGCCACATCATTAGAGTATGATCGATCTTCTGATACTCCTAATAGTGGATTTGAGAGTGCGATAGATATTGTTGATGATGAAGAGAGTTTTGAGACTGCACGAGGCAGTGATAATGGATACAGACCACAAAATTGGAGAGGGGATCAATTAAAAAAAAATACACAAAATTGGCGCAGCAATGACACACTTATTAAGAGTCAATCATGGAGGAGTACAAAAACAACATATGCAAATAGAAATGAAACTCATAAAGAAAGCCAAAATAATGTATCTAATTGGCGTTCTCCAACTGATAAACCGAGTAGTAAAGAGAAGAAAATTCAGAAGAATACACCTTTATTATGTTCACCAAAAGAATTGTACCAAAAGAAACGTCAAACGAGTTAAACACCGCTGAAAAGACAAGTCCCAATGTGGCTATAGTTTTACAAGTTGTGAAAAATTAAAATCAAAAATTAGTAGTACTTGAAATTTGTATAGTAAAAATTAGTTAAAGAAATATCTTGGTGTGAATGTCTGTAATATTATAAAATCGTTACTGCCAAATGTCATATAAGTCATTTGTAAGAAACTTACTACTGCTAACGGATTAAATCAGGGTTAGATCACTGAAAGGACAATCCCGGTTCCTTCATTATATAAAGAATTAACTTCTAGAAAAGTGAAATTAATACACAAACAAAAAAAACTTAAATATTTAACTTTTTGAGTAAGAAAGAAACTACATATATACAGTTAATTGCAGAGTTTGCATTCTAATTGCATGGATTCTTTTATAATAAACAGTTATGTTCCAAATCATTAGTTTCCAAAAGGATTAACTGATGTATAAAAGATTTTTATGAGATGTTTTTTCATGAAAAAAAACTGCTTCTTTGTCGAAAATTGTAAATTTTTAAAATATTTTCAATTTGCTAATAATACGCAATTTGTTTGTGTTTGATGCAAAAAATGTATTCAATAAGTAGTACCATAAACTCGATAAATGAATTTTTCATCTACTCTGAGATCAATATCTGAAGATAATCCTAAATACGATAATAGTTGGTTTGGCTAATATAACAGCAACTATACACCGGTATCCATACATAATTGGGGCATAACACTATTTTGAGACATATCTTACGGTATTTAGTACTACTTATGTATTGCAAAACTGCTTACGCATATCATCGTTTGCAACATACACCTATAATATATGCAATTGTAAAAGTAAAGCAAATATTTGAAGATATATTATATATTCAGTATTGCGGAATAATATATGGAACATTTCGTTAGTAATAGTTAGGGTTGTAAATAATGCACTAAAAATAATTTAATTAACATTAAAATTGAATTTTTTTACCGAATTCGAAATTAAAAAAAAATTTTGTTTAATCTCACATACCGGATTTAAAACTAACGGGATTAAAAATTTATTTTTATTAAACAAAAAAAATTTTATCTCAAGCATATAATTAAGAATTAAAAAAATGAATTTCTTTTACACTTAACGTTTTCGCGTTCATTCAAATCAAAATATAATATTTTCAATTTTTAATCCCAAACATCGGCATTAAAAAATGAAAATTTAATGTTTAATCGCACCATCGGAATTAATAAAAAATTGAAAATATAATTTTTAATCCTAACATCAGGATTAAAATATAAAATTTTAATATTTATTCCGAAATTCGCAACCCTGGTAATGTTGGTAATGGTTGTGTACCGTTAAAAAGTCTGTTAATCAGGGGTGTTGTGGAATCCAAGCCAGATTTGCATAGTTGTCAGCATTACAGACAAATTCTGATTTTCAATGGTGTCACAGAATCTGATAGGATTTTCGTCTTTTCGAACATATGCAAAACCAATATTCGAATCATCTGTTTACTATTGTGACAAAACTTGCAAATGGATAAATTTGGAGGTGTTTGATAAATTTGAAATACCGAATAAAGTCTACTAAAGTTTACAATGAGGTCCGCTATTATAGCTTTTAATTTATTGGAAGAAAAAAATAACGAACAAATTAAAGGGAAGATTTTAAAAGATCAAAGTAATCCTCTTGATGCACTAGGGGAGTCGCATGGGAATTTTGGCTTGCATTTACTTGTATGCTTGTATACATGTTTACTTTATAGATTTATATAACATTTATCGACTGAATAAAGACGCATTTAGGTGTTAAATAACGTTTTGTAAATCCTCTTAACATATCTGGATTTTGTTGCATAAACTCATTAATTATGACATTTTGTGTTTTATTCTTATGCTTTTCCCTATAGAAATAACGATAAATTAAATCGTAACAATAATACAAATTATTTTCTTAACTTACACTTCAAGTCTGTCAACGAATACCCTTTTGCTTTGTTTCTGATAACAAAACCGATAAAATTGGTTTCCGTGACATCCAAAACCGATAAAATTTCTGTTTCGAACGTCAAACCAATTATATCTGAATTCATGACACCTACTATTTACATATTCTTATCGGTTTCAATTCTGATTCCGACAGCTATCAGATTCTGCAACACCCGTGTATATGTGTTATAAGATAAATATAAAAGTGTATGCAAGTTATATAGAAGTAAATCCTAAAAAAAGGCCTTTGCTATTGCAAATATTTCAATGGGGTAGGGCTGGGGTCAGTTCCGGTTACGTAGGCCCAACTGTCGTGGGAACGGTTTAAGAGGGGCATGTAAAGAGGTGGTAAGTGTCATGCGGGAATCCCTTGCATGCAAAACAAAGATTCAGTATGTCGGGCTCGATTTTGGATAAGTAGGAGTCTAACCTACTCTAGTATATAGAACTAAGTTTTGAGAGATTCACAGTTGAAGATAGTTCCATTCTAATTTTTCGCGCCATAGCAATAGTTTTTGGTATTTACCATGGTACTTGAAAAATAAATTCTTATTCCTCCTATACCATAAGTCTTCTATACTATAATCGGAGAAAAAATACCGGTCGAATTTTATTAGATCTTATCTAAGATGTTCACAAAAAAGTGAAAACCTCAAGTTGAATCCTAACAGTGCCATCATTTCTGTTCACAAAACTACTTATTGTCAGGAAGATTATGTTTCAAATTACTGTAACTTATTAATAGTCAATGTTTTTATACAAAAGTCAAGATACAAATTGCTCTCAGAATATCTCAAAAACATATAGTTTTCAAACAAATAATTTTTGTTTTTTATTTCTCTTCTACAATATCTTAAGTTAGACTTTATTTATTTTACTGTAATTTTATTTCAGTTTATATATTAATACATAACATTTTCAAATATTTTTTAAGTTCATTTTGTATTAGAAAAATAAATGTTTGAATAATACAATTTATTGTAATGTAGTTTGTATTGATTACATATACATATGTATGTATGTTTATGTATGATTTGTCAAATCTGTTCTGAGAAATACTCTGTTATAACCAGAGACCGTATTTATTATAAGTTTTATATTAAAAATCACGTAATAATGGTTATACATTGAGTTTTACGATTTTCTTCACCGATATTGATTAATTTAACTTTATCATAAATAATTAATATTTTTGAGCAAAAAAAAAAAAATAAAAAATGAAAATTACCAATAATCATTATTTTTGAGCAAAAAAAATAAAAATAATCAAAAAATTTGTGATTTTTATAATATTTTTATTATATTATTTTTTTTGCTGAAAAGAAAAACTCAATTTTGATCACAGGTTTCTTACGGAGTCTTCTGCTAACTTCGTTGCATATCCTTTTAGAACAAAAGTATATCTTCCTTTTCTTTATTTTGTTAATAACACAATAATTGATGAACTCGTTGCAGCTGTATTTGCTGACAGAAATTATTTTTTGAATAACTTTCATGTTTTCGATCCAAGCTCAATAATTATGCTTTATATTATTTTTTATAATTTTTGCAGGGGCGTTGCAATACAGTAACATAAATTTTATCCCCCCATGCAACAAAGTTAGCCAAAACTTTTATAAGAAACCTGTGATCTAAAAATGAGTTATTTTGACTAAAAAATTGTATTCTATCAATTTGTGATTTTTTTTTTTTTTTTTTGCTCAAAAATAATAATTATTTATGATTTAATGTAAATTTAATTAAAATTAATCACTATTGTTGAAGAAAATCATAATAAATTGAAATAAAAACATCATCATGGAAATGCTAAGATTGTCGAAAAAGTATTAATCTGGTTATCGTTATCTATTTTTGCCGATTTTTTTTGTCGATTCTCAGTGCTTGATTTTTCATTTAAAAATCGCAACAATAATATTTATGCTCCCTGATTATAATAATAGTAAATACTCTATAACAGTTATGCCGATTAATTGATTGATTGACTAATAGTTTATGATGATTGAAAGGAAGTTTGTATATGGTATATGATTTACTGTTTAATCATTGTTTTGACAGCTCCCTCTCCTTTGTACTACTATGTATTTTTCCAGAAACTTTTTTTTTGTAATTACATTTCGACATAGAGGCTGTTATTGTGGTAAAATTCATAGTTTTTGATAATTCCTTTGATGCAATATTTATACATATTTTTAAAGAAAAATTGTATTTAAATTCCTTTAAACATTCCTTTTATTTTCAAATACATATATACAGATTTTCCAACTGCGCGCTATTGTTGCTCACTCACTTTTGTTGTTTAGCCTGCATTTTTTGCGCTGCGTGCATTAACCCCAAAAAATGGAGCTTTTCATGTTACGTATACCACATAGTGGCCACAAGTGGGGAAAAGAAAGGAAGCGAGTAAAAAAAAAAAAGAAATTAAATGTGCATTTGCTTGCTAAGTACGCATATCCATGCATACCATATGTGTATGTATATTTGTATATACCGCATACATCTCTTTGTATACGTATATATGGTACTACAGGGAATGTGTATGCATTATGCCCGAGAAAAAATTGCATATCAAATTGAATTATATAAATTTATTTGTTGCATTCTATTTAATTTCATTTTCGCTGTGGACTCGTCAGTTTGCCAACAGAAAAGAGATAACTTTGTTGGATTGTGGAGAATTCAGCAAAAAAAAAAAAAAAAAAAAAATTTAAAGAAGATTAAAATGCAAAAAGGGAAACAGTGAAAGAGTCCTTTTAAATAAGAAAAATGTCAGTTAAATCAATGAAAAATATTATGAACCGAAGTGAAGAGAGAGAAATAATATCTGCAAAGAGCAAACTGTTTTACGGGGAAATTTAACAGAAGGACGAGGGCAATTTACTAACAATTATAAAAAAATGTTATTTCGGCTGCACCGATAATACCCTTCACAGGGGTATTTTTTATATCATAAAAGGGTATAAAAAGATCTTTATCTTAATTTTGATCGGTCAATTTGAATCGTAGCTATGTATATACATATATGCTATAGTGGCCCGATCTGAACAATATGTTCGAAAATTTAATCGATTCTTTTGATAATAATACTAGTTTATAGTTTTGCGGTTGCTAAAATCGAAAATGATAGTAAAAATTTACTAACATGTAAAATTTTTTGGGGTGTAGGGGTTGAACAACCAACATATAAATGACAAATGACCAAAAAACCTCAAATAACACCACAGATTTGTTGAATAGTGTAATCTCGTGAAGATACCTTGTCAAATAAAAAAGTTTTCCAAACAAGAACTTGATTTTGATCGATACATTTACAATGGTAACTAAATGCTATAGTGGTCCAATCTGAATAATTTGCTCGGAGGTTGTACCGCTATTTTGAACAATAGTCCATTCAAAATTGTTTAATAAAAAATTTGTCAATACAAGAAATTGATTTTGATCGATTAGTTGTCCGATACCAGCGGTTTCGACAATTGAGGGATCACTTGGTGAGAAATTTACGTGTACAAAAAATCAAATCTATAACTCAATAATTGAGGTACTGGCTCGCGTATATACAGACGGATGTACCCTATACATGTTGTTGTAATACCCTGTACATGGTATAATTCGGCTCGATAGCACGGTAATGACCTACCGTCTTACAATATGACATAAGGTAGACAGATATTCGAAATATTTAAAATTAAAATTCTTTACCGCCCAATCATAATCCTTTCTAACTTTATTATATTCCTTTCTAACTTTATTAAATTCTCTTATATGAATTTTGACCACCTACAATGATAATTGTTTCAATTTTCATACTCGCTATACTTTTGAGTAAATTTCATCATTGGGTTTGTTGGGTTCTCCTGTTATTTTGAACGAATGGCAGCAGCAGTCAAATCTATTATATTTTTTATTTTTTCTACTTTACAATGCTTGTGTGCAGCCTTATTCCTCTTAACAAGCTCGCGAAACGACGAATTGTCAAAGGTTGACTGCATTAACCGCTCTCAACTCGAACGACCGACCAACCGACCGCCTGTCTGCAGCACAGCTGCTGCAAAAGCACCTTTAACTCTCCAAACGGCCACGTTAAGTTTGTTTGAGTTTGCTGGAGCCGAAAGTAATAGAATATAACCATGTCTATAACATTGATGAAGCCTATAGTAACACGATGATGATGCGGATAATGGTGATCAACATTATTATGGCATTGTTATTGATGCTGTTGCCGCATTGAGCCGACTGCAAAGCAGAAATTGTAAAACGGGAAGCAATCACGCAGCAACGTTTAAATAAAGCACAGGTGGTAAAGGGAGTCGTCACCATGCCATGGCAGGTTGGATGCTCTAAAACCGTTTTCGGCTGCAACAAAAATAAAGCAAAATACGCTGAAAATTCGCCCAAAAGTGCAGCGAGAGCATAAAAATGAGAGAGCAAAGTCGCATAGGTGGATGTTTAAGATGCTCATGAGGACAATACAAAGCCAAGGTATGCTGGCTGTGGTTGGAGAAGTTGACATTGTTCATTGTTGCTGTACACAGTACACACTACATTAGTATTAAATGGAGACTTCGTTGCTACTGCTGCTTGCTAATACTGTTGTTCCTGTGCTTAAAAATATAGAATAGTTGTTGGTAGTTACTTAAGGTGGTGTAGGAAACGTAAACGACACGAAATCATGACGACGGCGACCTGCGATGACTCCCGACCGACAATATGACGACGACAAGAGCAAAACGAACATCAGACACGACATTCGCGAACTTGCTAGAGAAGCTGAGCTGTGTATGCGTGTGCCTGTGGAGAAGTGGAAATGGAGCTTGCTGGCTGCACGCTGCGCAGCCTTTTCAACGGTCGACAGCGCACGCACACAACTACAATGATTACAAAGGCTGTGCTTTTAATACAGCTTTGCCTGCTATACCTATGATGCTGGCTGGATTGCTGTTTTGCAGCGCTGGCTGGACCCCAATAGTGAGACAGCGGCTGCTGCTGCTGCTACTGCTGCTGTCTGCTTATATGACTGCCTTTACCTTTTTGCCTGATGTGCCTGGCTAGCGATTCAGTCGATTGGTTGGTTGGCTGGTTAGTTCCTTGCTCGTTTGCTCGTACGTCTGCTCAGTCGCCTATTCGTGCGGTCGCCGACTCTCGACAGTGTGACGGTAAGCGAAGATGATGATGCGGAACGCAATTTTCGCTTTGCGGCAGTTGGCGGTTTTGCAGTTTAACTTTGGCACTTGCTCGTTACGAAAGGAATCGGTATCATCTTAAATTTCCAATTTTTTTTTTAACATTAGCAAATTTTGCTTGCTGCTTGCTTATCTCCTTGGCCTGTTGGCTGGATTTTCAAAACCGATGTGCTAGTGTAGTTTGGCGTTTTGCACGCGTGGTGCCTGCTTTCATACAATACTACTGACTGATGAGACTTGAGCGTGATTAAAACAAGAAAAAAAAAACGAAATTTTGTGGTGTAGATACCTACCAACAACAACAGTAGATGAAATACAAAATGGTACACTTTTCGGTGTTAAGTTTAGTTTTTTTTTCGCTTCGTAATGTCGAAGTTGTACCGTTGCGTGGATTGACTTTGTGGTCGGAAAGAAATTATAAGACTTGAACAAAACCACACGATTAATACAGCTTATACATAAACTGCAATTATAGTAAATTGTGTGGAAAAACGACAAGATTAGCTGGGAAAGTTAATAACGGTACACAATATTTGCGTAAAAACAAATAATTTTTAACAAAATGGAGCAAAGCCGGTGGTTATTTAATTGGCAGCCGAAGCATGTAAGTCGTATGCCTAAAGTACCAGTAAAAATTAAATAAACACAAATTTTATATTATATTGTAATTATATTATTATCCAATATAGATTACATTACAAATCTGTAAAATTTTCCAAATTAGTTTTTTATGTACTCATAAATGAGACTTATTGTTTGCGAAAGCAATCTGTACGAACACATTTCGAGGATACACGCCCTATGGCGGCGGCGGCGGCGCTCTTATGCACCTTATACATACATATGAGCACATGCATACATACATACACACATACACATGTACAAACAGGTACAGAAAGGCATATAACGATGTTGCTACGTATGTACATATGTACACACGCGCGTAACACGCAAGCACAAACCCTCGCACATATTAATACCCTTCACCTTTTCCTTGCCTTAATTGAAAGCATACAAAAAAAAAGCGTATAAAGTATTGTTGAAGATTAAAAAAGGATCATACGCTCAGCAACAGCCGCGACAAGCAACCAGCAATGTGTCCGTTGCAATAAGACAAACGAAAAAACTTGTATTGCTGGAATTTCCACTTTGGCAATTTTTTTTTTTGCGTCTTCTTCGATATGCACCTATTCCTATCTATATAAAAGTTCCATGCCATGGACAGACGAACGTCTTTCCTGTAGTTAAGCAGGCACAGCTTTAAATTCACAAGCAGAAAAAACACAAAAACAAAAAAAAAGGAATTCAAAACTAAAAAAAAAAACAATAAAAGGTTGAAAAATAGATGCCGACAAGTTCAAGTCTTCGCGGCGGCGAAAAAACACGTTAAATTGAAATGTGCCTTGAAACTGCAGCGCAATGAAGCAAGCAGCTAACAAAACGAAAACTCGTATTGGCTTTGCTACCTTGCAGGCGATTGCCAATGCCATGTCGCCGTTGCTGCTGCTGCTGTATGTGGCGCGTTGCTGCGTCTAAAAATGCACTTTTTCCGCGCTGTGCAGGCGCTTTGTGCCGGCGACTGTTGCTATGCCTGCAATGCACTGCGTCAATATTGTTGCTACAACGGCGGATGCTGTTGTCGTCCGTCTCATACAACAATTCAAAACGAGATTGCTCCCAATCAACTGCCACCAAACTGTAGCTCAGCTAAAGCGGTAGTTGTAGGCCGGCATTTTAAGCCGACCAACAACCAACAACCAACCGGCCATTGAACATTACGTGTCCACTGACTGCTGCTTACACTCACTCACACATATATACATACATACATATGTATGTGTATAGTATGCAGTTTGTAGTATTGTATTGGTGTTGGTGGCATGCCTTTATGCTTACAAGGCGTTTGCCGGCGCTTTTGCGTATGTCGCTACCTTAGCTTGCTTATGGACCAAGTAATTTTAGCCAGCAGAAAACGCAACGAAATGCAGCTTTCCGGCGCACTGCGCTTTTTCGCGTTTTAATTTTTTCGCCTATACATACATATGTACATAGGTGCAACCGTGTGCGCGCGCTTTTTAACGGCCTTTTCGGCTTCATTGGCTTCTTTTGGAATGACCGGGAATGCTAGTTACTGCTAGTAAATTCGAAACGTGTTGGCATCAGTTTTGTATGTATGTTTATGAAGTTGTCATATTTTCCACAATTAACTAGGCTTTTTATACATACATACTTATGTATGTGCAAGTAACTCGCATTCCAAATTTATTTTTAGATATTAAGGCAGCCACTATTATTATATTGTGTATTAATAGCCATGATTTGAACACAAATAAACGGTCGTTTCTATTTCAGTTAACGTTCATTAGTTGAATAGGTCTGGATGTGTTAAATGGCTGGTTGTGTTTAATAAGCATTAATAGCATTTCATGACAACTGGTTGTTTTTTTATATTATTTGTAAATATAACTGGTTGTTTTTTATGTTTTTTTGTTGCAAATATAACTGGTTGATTTTTATATTTTTTTTTGTAAATATAACTGATTGTTTTTTATATTTTTTGTAAATAATGAAATAAAAAATTATTTCCGTTTGATTCGGTACATTTTTTTATTTTGTTGAGTAATGAAATATCTAAAATAACTTTCTTGGATTTAACGATTAATTTACCAAAATAAAATTGTAAAAGAGTCCTAAATAAGAATTGTGTAGCAAATCATGTAAAAATGCTTGTGGGTCCGCTGTATTGCAAAATAATTTGTGATTTATTGATATCTATTGCAATTTTTATACAAATATTCACATATATATTTTTTGTTTTGCAATTTATATTAAAACTAACCTAACTTGATATGTGACCAAACTGTTGCCAGGTCTGTCGAATTTTTGGGATTTTAAAAATAAGAAAATTTCTTAAAAGAGTAAGAATGACATCAGAAAAAGGTTGCTAGTGAGAACAAATGTGTACTTGACTTTTTTTCAATTGCTGATTATGGTAGTAGAGTAGAAGTAGGCATAGTTTTAAGCTCCCCAATAGAAAGAAAATGCATTAAGGGGTTATATCCACTTGTGAATTAAAAAAAAAAAGATTTTTTTTGCTTATATGTACATATGTATATCGAATATACATATATTTCAGAATATACTTCGATTTGAATTTAGTACGGCAAATAGTTTCGATAATATGAGCGTACGCGTAAAATTTTTTAACTTATGTAATCGTTTATTTCTTAAAACGCAGTTTTCAGAGTCGGTGAAGTTAATTTCTTCGAAACGGCAGCTTCGATCGACTTGAAATTTTCGCACGACCTTCTTTGATATATTTTTCGGGTATTGAACGAAGGAATAAGATTTTTTTTTATAAAAATTTCGACTTTTCAAGCCACTCTTCAGTCTATTTTTTTCACAAAATTTTTTTGGAAAGCCGGCATTTTGTCAAAAATCAAAATTTTGACTAGTCAGTCCTTGGCTCATTTTCTGTATTCATCTATAATAATAGTAAAATTTTTTGGTTTTTGGATTCAAGATAATTTTAAGCAGAAACGCCTTTCTCACCGCCAGACACCGTTTTTGGAGGTCTTTCTGGAGATCGGCTACGAGATCAAGGAAATTCAAAATGTTTCTAAATGTATTGCTGATTATTAAAATGCATTGAATTTTGTAAATATACATTATTTTTGTTTATTTATTAAATAAAATACCACTTCACAAAAAAATTCAGAAAATGCGCGTTTTTTCGGACTTGCCAATGGATATAATTCAAAAGATATATAGTAATTTTTCAAAATTCCGAATTATTATTTAAAAAAATGCATTTTAAGAATAGAAAAGCCAGTACATATAAGTGATATATGACATTTTTTAAATCCAATTGACTTTAAAAGTGCAGGCTTTGTGTGTTTAATATCCAGTAATATGTTTAAACCAACCTATATTTGTGTATGTATGTATGTATGTACACCTAAAACCACCATTTAGCTTTTGCGCACGTTGCTGTATAGCCAAATTCGAGCCTACGCTCCTCTATACCCACATATTCGCACCATTATGAGATCCCTCTACATCAGGCTCTGCAATGCTTAATGGCTGACCGGCTGTCGTTTGCAGCTAGCAGCAGCAGTCAGCCAAAGGCAACAAGACACTAGACGCAACAGAATGGCTGAAGGAGCATTCTTTAAGTGCTATAACTTCGCACTGTTGAATGTGTAAACGAATGTGCAAGTGGAAAGAGTACACAATGCAGAAGGCTATGGCAGGAGGACAGCAGCCGAAATCGACCAAAGCAAATGAAAGACAGGGCGAAATTTAATAGTGCTCGCATCTGTATACTTGTATATTGGTGGCCTGTTGAACGTGCGTGCAATGCGAGTGCCTTTGTGAGTGAGCGAAGGTTCTACCAAAAAGCTTGAGGGCGGCAATAGTTGGTGGTGGAAGCTGTACTGTGTGTGTGTGTGTAGAACAATAGCACGCAAACAGCGCGCAATGTCATTATTTCAACAGCGTTCGGTAACAACGCCACCTTTGTAGAGCGCAAAGGCAGTCGGAGGCAAAGAATTAAGTAAAAAAAAACCAACAAAAAGACAGCAAGCTAAAGAAGAGACAAGCCAATAATGGCAGCAAGCGACTTGTAGTAGCAACAACAATTTTTAATACTTCATTGTCAGCAGCATCAGATCGGACAGGCGACTTCAATGAAATATAAAAAAAAAAAAAAACAGAATTTTGCACATTCTTTCTTGGCCACATTTTCGTTGCTCCATTGGCCCGTTCTGTGTTCGATCTCAACGAAAAATAAATTCGAAAAAAATATGCTTAGTAACAATTATTTTAAACTAAGCCTACGCAGTCAAACCAGACCAAACCAGACCGCTGCTCCGCTGTTGTGTGAGTTTAGCTGATCAGTCGGTTTGTTGTTGCGCTGCGAACTACACGCTGTGTGAGAAATGAATAGAATAGCGAAAAAAATATATTTCGAGTGAAACTTAATTTGGTGACATTACTTTTGCTATAAAATGCCATTTAAGCAGTCACACACACACACACTGCACAGCCAGCTTCCAAGCCGCTTATGCTCTCTACCTACAAAATATCAACTTTCTTGGGTCGTCAGCACCCTCTGTTGCCCACTACTTCAATTTATCACACTGCACGCCTGGCAGCAATAGAGTTCATTTCTCTTTCGACTCCCTCACTCACTACTCCACACTAATCTATTTAAAACGTTATCTCACCGTCGCACTATTTTCGTATAGTTTTGCCTCTATATAAATAATAATGCTTATACATACATACAGACATTATATATTTCTGGTTGTAAAGGTCGAAAATGAGTTGAAGAGAAGGTGAAAAATGTGGTATGTACCCCCAACGGCTTCATAGCCAAACATAACCAAAAGAAAAATTTAAGCTCGTTTTTTGCGCAAAGTCGTATGCTTTTGCATAATTTTGTTTTTATACTTTTTAATTTAAACTTAAATTAACCTCATGTGTTACATAGATTTGTGCGCTGCTAGCATTTATGGTAAACTCGAATTCGTAAAACGAAGTGGTAAACTCCTCGGGAGCATATTTTTTTAAATTTGATTTTAACTATGCTCTTCTGAATGTGTATTGCTCTCGTTCACTATGCTTATGCGCCCACACATATTCTTAATTTTTTTTTTGTTTTGTTGCCTGCATTAGCATGAGTTGCCGGTTTGGTCTCCTGTGAGCTGATGTGAGCTGCTGCGGCGCATGCGTTTGCCTAGGCTGCGTAGTGAGTGTTGCTGCAGTGTAACTGCTGCTGCTGCTGCTGCTACGCCTGCCACTGCTGATACAAATGTGAAAAGTGAACCATGACCATGCCAAAGAATGAAAAATTACAGCACAGCACAGTACGAATCGCAATCAAGCGAGCAGGAACTACGCGATGCTTGCCATGACAGTCAAGCAGCTATGCAAGCACAAGTTACAGTGAAATCTCCAAAAATATTGCAAATAAAGGAAATTGTATTTTTTCCATTGTTCTTGCTTTTGGCAATGTTGGTTGCTTCGGGTTAGTTCGCCAATTTTTATGTTTATTTTTTATACAGTTGTATGTATGTACACACTCCTGGCACTGGACTCCTCGTACATTGCTCCAGCGCCCAATTTCCATGATTGGAAAATAGTTGTCTACTGCTTCGAGCTCCCCATTTTATGGTACCAACAGGAGTTGTTGTGTTGGTGCGCATATACACGTATGCAAGGTGTTTAACGTGGCCAATGCTTTTGTACCTCTTTGCTTATGCTGCTTTTGTTTTTTTTTTTGCCCGCCATTTATATTCGTACATGAATCTAGAAATCAGGTTTTTGAGTATTTTTTTGTCGTTACGTGCTTAAAATAGAATTCAGTCATCGAAGATTAATCGCATGTAGCGGCTGGGTTAATAATTTAATCTACATGGACGTGTGGCGTAGAAGTTTGAAGTGTTATATTTTTTTTGCAAATTTTGTAATAATTTTAGAAATATTTTTAGAATAAAAAGTAGCAAAAAATCTTTGCAATAATATATTCACTTATTTACTTAAAAAAATAAAATTATTTTTAATGCTTACTAAACAAAGCCGAAAAGCTTATTGTACTTATGAAACGAACTGCTTAAACATTTTAGAACTAAAGAATAATTTCAATAATATTTGTGTTACAAAGATACAAATATGATTTAATAGAGTCACTCTCGTACGCATTGCTAAGTTTTTATTTCAATTTAATCAAAAAATTGTATCCGAACTTGAATCTCAAACGTTTTGCGGCAACCTTTGAAAAGAAGAAGTCCTTACAGCAAACAAAAAAGGCACGAGCATCAATTCAAACATTAATTAATAAAAAATGTTTTTTGAGTTAAACGGGAAGTTAGAGTTCAAGATGTTTTCAAATTCTAACAGTGATAGCTTTTTGATTTTAAATGCTTTATTGTTATCGCTTTCGAATCAAATACCTGTGCGCATTGCTGATTGTTGATCACTGATGATTAAGAAATTATGAAAATACCTTAACTTCGGCTGCACCGAATCTATAATACTCTGCACAGATGCATGTTACATAGCATAAAATGGTATAAAACGATCTTTATCTTGATTTAGATCGGCAAGTTTGTATGACAGCCATATGCTATAGTGTTCCGTTATCGGCGGTTTCGACGAATGTACAGCCAACTGAGGAGAAAAGGTCGTGTGCAAAATCTTAGAACGAAATCTCACAAATCTATATATGCAGTTATCAAATTAGTTTTAAATCTCCGCAATAAATTGTGATTAATTAACTAATATATGTTTTCTTCTATTTTCAGCATTCCAAACTGAGTATGTAGCGGTTATTTTACAAATTCTTCGGGACTGACAAAATTTCGCTACAAAAATTAAAAAAAAAATTATCTAAAACTATTACAAATAGATTTGATAGTCTCAGTATCAATGTGTATAAAAATATTTATAAGCCAGAGTGATTTTAATTATGCTGTAACTATTTTTCATGGAAAAAATGTATGAAAACAATATTACAACAATTTAAATAGTTATCTTTTTGTTATTGTTTACCAATCATATTAGCGAAGTTCTGTCAGTTTCCCCTTAACGGAATTCAAACTCAACGCCCTCATTATGTAATACCTAATGATTGCAATGAAAATGAATTTAGTCAACAAACATGATGCTAACAGCAGATATATTTAATAACAGTAGCCACAACCATACAACGTAGAACGACGACAGCATCGGCGGTGACAGTGACGCTGACGGCGCATGCAGACGACATGCCGTTGTCGACAATTATGCAGCAACAACCATAAGGCGTATTACGAACGTTAGTCATAGGCCAGCAAAATACCAAAGAAGGCAACGGCACGGCACGGCAGAAGAAAAAGTTTCAAAGCCAAACAAGCCAACATACCTTGATAAGTATTAGAAGCGTTAAGCGTAATTTGGTGAAAGGCAAGGAAGACGACAACGCCGCACACAACCCGCTAACATGTCCGCTTCACTAATGCCTTTGTCTGAGTCGCAAAAAGTGGATGGCAATGGAGATGGTGGCGCTCGCGAGTTCGTCGAAGGTTGGACACTTGCGCAAACACTTGGCGAGGGTGCCTACGGCGAGTGAGTAGATACTTTGTTGTATTTTCGTTAAATTTATAAATTTTTTTTTTTGTTTGCTTTACAATTTTACAGTTAAAAACTGAAAGTATGCTAGTTGGCAAATAAATGGCGGTTAATTAGTAAAAGTGGGGTTAAATACGTTGCAGCGCACTCCATGACTACTTGAATAACGTATTTCATGCAGTTCAAGCATAAATGCTACACAATTTCCGTACGAAAACAGTGTGTTAATAATGTTTGTATATTGTATTTCGCAAAAACCGAAAATTTGCACAGTTCTGCGCATGTCCGCATTTCGCATGCAACTCTTGTATATTTCTGAATCAATTTCGGTATATATTTTACTCCCATTTATTGGAGTATAAGTGCATACATATGTATAAAGCTGCGTGCGTGTGTATGTGTACATTAAGCTTACACTTTTGCTATTTCATTAAAATATTTCCAAAATACTCTTGAAAAACTCATTAGATATTTATTAAACAAAAATACTTGCTTTAATCGAGAAAAGTCGTAAATCGCCTGCTCTATTCTGCACAGTTACTTCCTAATATTCATTATGGAATTCAATATTAGCAACCCCCACGCAAACACAATAAGCGCAACAAAAGTAAAATAATGAAAACAAACGCATATATGCATGTACAATCATACATACAACTTGCCAGTTTTATTGGTATGTTGGTAATACCATGGAGCAGGGATTATACGACGTACGAGCAGAGTCAGAGCCCACAATGCTCGGAGAGTTGTAGTAACAATTCGTGTTTAGCATGTCAGTCGGTCGTGGACCTGCGGTGTGCTGCTTTACGACATCACACATCGATATGTTGCGAGTAAAAAATTCGTAGCTGTCCGTCCGCATATCCAGTCTGACACTTTAATGCATACCAACTGGGTTCATAAGGCGCTCCAACCGAATTCTATTGTCTAAAATTTTATTTGGGAGCACTTTTTCGTACATATATTCGTATGTGTGTGTTAATACATCTCTGTGGTTTTAGCGCTCTTCTAACTCGTTTATTTTTTATTCGCAGAGTAAAATTGTTGATTAATCGTCAAACCGGCGAAGCTGTTGCCATGAAAATGGTTGATCTGAAAAAGCATCCGGATGCTATGCTCTCCGTACGCAAAGAAGTTTGCATACAAAAATTGCTACAAGATAAACACATTCTGCGCTATTTTGGCAAGCGTTCGCACGATGATGTCGAGTATTTGTTTTTGGAGTATGCAGCCGGCGGTGAATTATTTGACAGAATTGGTAAGTAAATTGAAAAGTGCTGATGGCTGATTAATTGCTTTTCGCATATGCATACATATAGAGATAATGTATGTATGTACAAGTATATACCGGTTATAAATTTGTTGGATTTGAAAAATCACTTGTGCGAAATTTGTAGTACACATTTTCGTTTCTCTATATGCAAAGGCACATTTTAATAAACATCAATTTAACTTGCATTAATTTTGTTTTATTAATCAACATCGCTCCTATAGCAATGTTTCAGCTGAAATGATTCATGTTTCTTTAGTAAAACATACTGCGTATATATGGAACATATCATATATGTAGGTGTGTGTGTAATTATTGTGACTAATCTGTGCCGGCTTATAGGTGATTTTTAAATAGCTCAAAGTATACAAGTTAAATTATTAGTAAGTAAGTGAGGAATACATATTTGAGATATATGTTGAGATATGCAGATCATAAGCGGTAAATTGCTACCCGAATTAATTATTGAAAATGGTTTTATGGTGAAAATTGTAAAATTTGACATTTATGCGCCTGGAAGTAGGCTATCATTTGTTCTATAACGTATATACCTAGCATACTCCTCCTCTCTTTAATGCATGCACTTTTATTTGGAAATTTAATCGGTGCTTAATTTTTTTTATTTTTGAATCTATCATAGTTTTCCAAAATATTTCGAACTTATGCGCCTGAAAGTAGGCTAACATTGTTTCTACGAAATTTAGACATATTTTTCTATTTCTCCAATTAATGAATATAATTTGTTTAGTAAATTCGAAACTATTATTATACACTTATTCGGTGTTTGAATTTTTTTCTTTATTAATTTTTCAAAATTTTTCCAAATATTTAAAATAAATAGTTAATTATTCTTTTTCGGTTATATGTAATTACGATTTATTTCGGTAAAGTAAAACAATTGTTTAATAAGTACTCAGTAGTATTCAATTTTAAGATTTTTGAAATATTAATCAAACATAGTTTTCTATTGCATTTTTTAAATACTTACTAAAAAAATCGCAAAAGTTTCTTTAAAAATAGTTCAAAAGCGATATATCCATTCCTCTAATGCAAATTCAAAAAGTCCTAAAATTTTGATTTCTTTGCTAATAATTATAGAAAATAATTAATTTTTGTAATATACCATATGTCACACCGTTAGAATAACGATTTTCGAGATGACTTACTGTCACTGTACAAGCTAGGATATTAATGTCGTCAAATACGAGATGTATTTAAAAAGTAATGTAACTTCACTTTATTTCTTTCAACATTTTTTTTTTATTTTATTATGAAAGATTTTTAATTTAACATTTTATTGTTTTTTCTTCGAATTTTTATTGGTTTTTTTATTTTTTAATTGTTTTGTGTTTTGCTGTATACTCTGAAAAATTGGCTGGTACACATCAAAAACAAATCTCTCCCAAGTATGAGCTTTAAAATTAATATCCGCTTTTGAGCTTCCTATTTTTTCTTTTTTATCAGAAAGAAAAGTTCATATCTCAATATTTACTCTTAGAAAAAAATATCCCGTATCTTATATATGCAGGAAATTGAATTCTCTGCAAAAATACTCTCCTACAATTTTTTCGTAAGCCTCACCGTTCAAAAGTTATTAAAAGTTCAATTATTTAAAGGCATATTCTTGTTTTTGAATTTTATGACTCGTTAACAAAAAATGATTATGACACCTTTAATACCTTTTGAACGGTGAGTTTTGTACGAGGCAATTTTTGTGTGATAGCTAGAATATTTCCCACAAATAATCTGTATTTTATACCCATCCTTTATATAGTATACATACATTATGAATTCGAAAAAATCAGAAAACTTTTGCTCTTCGAAAAAAGTTGTAAGAGTCAATTATGTATTATACTTATTTATTATTATTTGTGAAATAAAAATGTTATTCATTGTGCTCAATTGAGTTCTCATTAAACTGTATTTAAATTATAAATGTGCCTTAATTACTGTGGACTTAAAGAAAAACTAACAGCATTGCTATTTTTATACACTATACAACTGTAATTATAAATATGCTCGTGCAATATTTATGAACAAACATTTATATTTATAAAATGCTATCTTTTTATATATTTATATACACTTCTATAGATAAATATATAAAAACATATATATGTATATGTATTTGAATAACTAGTCATTCCATCTACAGCTTATTGTTCGGCCAGCGTTTTTTATTATCCTATCACATACTTGTACATATTTATGTAAATATATGTAGATCTGTATGTTGATTGCCATTCTATAATACTTAGCCACTATTTTCGCCCATCCTACTAACGATAGTGTATAAATGCAAATTAAGAGGACGTATGCAAGCAATAGGCAGTGTGAGGGTATCCATTATAATGACGACTACTGTCGCTAACGAACACTATCCTCGACGGCTATGCACCAGGAGTCGCATTCTGCACTGCGCTGGATGCTCGTTGGTATTGTTCGCTGGCGAGCGATAGGGTTGAGATTGGTTGGCCAGATTGGTATTGGGATTGGGAATGCATTGCTGCTTCGCTGGCTGGTAAAACGCGTCTATTGTTTGATTATATGTAGGCTTATTTTTATGATTATTTACAGCAATGACGTGGTGGCGTGCAGCGTGTTTGTTTGTAGAAGCAACATCCTGATGTGTATTCATCAGTGACTATTGTTGCAAGCGCGTTTTGTTAGTTATGAGTAGTTTTTATGATTAGCTGCCGTCAAGGAGCAGGAGCATATTCAAAAAAAGCAATATTAAAAAGTTGAACAAAGCTTAGGAAAAAATGCTACTAATGCCTGTTATGAAGGTGGTCTTAATTGCTAATTTTTGTTATTAAAATTTTACAATTTCTTTTCTATATTTAACGGAAATATGGGAATTTGTAAAACACATTCGTGAGCTTTGATTTAATTTTGCGGTAACAATGCTACAAAAACCCATTAGTTGTATTTTTGTTTAATTTGGGGATTTTAATTTGCAAAAGGATAAAAAGATATAACTTGTAGATTAGCTATTATCTTCACTAGTCCAGTACATACATATATGTTCGTTAGGCTTCTGTTCTGCTCTCCAACAAAGAAAGTTTCATAGTAAAATTCAAAACCAGAAATCCATATCAGTCGACTTCGATTCACTATTTTTCGCTATCTTTTCCTATAAAAAAATACACTGTTAAGGGTTATATTTAAAAAAATAAGTAAAAAACTGTACGTTTATACAATTTAATGTACTGTAATAATTGGCGATTCATTTTAAGAATATTTTCCCGTAGCCAATATTTACGAGGCCCACCGAAAATAGATGTCTCTTAGAGAGATCTCGAAATTTCGGAATCTCGGAAGATTTTCTGCTTAAAATTATTTCAATTTCAAAACGCTCTTTCTTATTACTATAGATGAATCTGTATTCAATGATCGAAAGACTAGTCCAAGTTTCTTCTGGCTTCAAAAAAGTAAGTCTCTTTTTTGTGAAAAAATTTACACTTCAGAGTGGCTTAAAAAATCGAAATTATTATCAAAAATCTTACTATTTCGATTACTACTTAACAAATACCTCTATCTAGAAGGTCCTGTATAAATTTCAAGTCGATCGTTTTAGCCGTTTCGCACTAATTTTTAGCTTATTGGAGGGGATTACACTTAGTTAAAAAATTCTTACAAATACATTCTTATCACTTTTGAAATTCACAAGTGGCAACTAAAATAAAGATAGTTAAATTTAATGACAAAAAACGTACACATTGTTGTTGTTGTAGTGGCAGAAAACATTCCTAAAGTAATTTCGAGGAATGGTGCCTAGTTGACAGTCCTTGGCCGGATAAAAAACCAGGTCCGTTCCGGATACTTAGACCCGACTGTCGTGGGAACGGAATTGTAGACAATCTCTCTCTCAAACCTCTAATAAGGTGGTATAACGGTGCTTTTTTATGCCAGTATATTTGATTTATATCAGTTGTATGTTCGATTCGATTATAAAAAATATATTGTTTAATTTTTTTTAATTCTTTGTGTCATAAACATGCTTTATGCCGAATTAATTAAACGGACAATTTTCGCTGGAGTCTAAAAAATTGATTGTAGTAAACTTATGTATTGAACAAATACTTGTAGCTAGTGATATATGGTAAATTTTTGAGCTAATGCAATTTCGGGCCATCTGCAAAATATTTCAAAATTTTGTTTACCTAATCAATTAATTGTCTACAATTTTTGTATAGCTACTCCTTTTTTCTGACCTCTCCAATAAATTGTAATTCTTAGGCCAACTGCAACTCGGTTAGCAAGTATCTACACGAGTTGGAGCGTTCTATTGCAACTTGTTAGTAATAATATTAATATTACCGAACTTTCGAAAAAAATCATATAAATATTTTCAATCGTTTTCTTTATTCTTTTATGACATGACGCACATAACATCATTTTCAGCTTGAATTATGTAGCATATAGTATGTTGATATCTGCAAATCTACTTGCTAATCATAATTCAATTCAGTTGTCCTTTTATTTCACATTTACTTGTTGACTATGCATTTAAATGAAAATTTGTTTTCAATCTGACAATCATCCACTTCGTATAAATGTATGCAATTTATATTGATCCAGCTATTTTGTGAAAGAATAAACAACTTCCTTCCTTGTGCCATTGTGGCATGATATATATGTATATACATATGTAGGTATATGGTATGTTGATGGAATATTCGTTAGAATAGACAGATAGAAATTTTCTATTGCATATTCATAAGTTTAATTGGATTTGATTGAATACTAAAATACCATAATGATCAAGATGTAATGCAACATGCGACAAATATAAAAATATTTTTAATATTAATTAAGGATGCATTTGATACATACAGTGGTCCACAAGCCAATAGGAGTGACATGATTAACAAAATGTATCTTTAATTTTTTAATAAAAAACTTTGTTTTAAGTTTCAAAATTTTGCTGATATACAATATTAATAGGTCCATATATTTCAATTGAACGTTAAGAAACATTTATTTCA